GAAGAACGTGAAAGTTTGAGACGAAACACAAAATAACAAAATTTCAGGACAAGCAACAAAAATTACAATTAAAGGGATGAGTAAATGACACACAAATGAATCAAACACAATGACGCTTTCACTTCCTATATGCACGTAACAGTCACGAATCAAAGTGCAGTATACTACCAATATATGTATGTAGTTCATCAACTATGTATGTTACAACTTACAACAACTGTTACGCACGAATGCTCGTACACATACACTAGACACATATGTATATATATAAATCAGTATGTGAGTATATGCAGTAAAATTAAAACAACATGGGAGGGAGAGAAACCTGTGAAATAAAACGGGTATGTCGGTTTCATACTGTGTTGCGTGTTTGGAAGATCCAAAAATTCAAGCACTCAAGCTTTTATAGGAGGAGGAAAAACATACTGAGTGTTGTAGCATGTTGGAAAGGAATAAAGAATAAAACGGTTCGTTAAATCCAAAAGGGCGCGCAACTGTTGGCCTAAAACGGTGCGTCTGATCCAATAGGGCGAGCAACTGTTGGCATAAAACGGTGCATTTGATCCAATAGGGCGCGCAACTGGTCCTGTTCAGCGGTCGGAACGTACCAGATTCAATAATAACATTTACGATTCATATTTTATTTCACTATATTACTAAATTAAAAAATAGGATAATATTTCTTATGTTGTAAGAGATAAAAAAATATAGGGGGCTGAACCTTTAGCCATCACTGTTTCCCCGCACTCCGGATTAGTCCCATAGCCGACTCAAAAAGTCGAAGCTCGTGGAGATACCGGAGGAAGCCAACTCGTCTCAAAGAGATAATTAGGGTTGGGTAACTCCAAAAAAAATAAAAAAATATCATTTACACACGTAAAAATATATGGGACCACGTGAGGCCATATAAAAAAAATAGAGAAAAAGAAAACATGAATCTCATGCACTTTTATGTAGGGGTGAAACTCGGCCGGGCTGGTCTACAGGGGCCCACGGCTCGGCCTATAACAGGTCATACTTGACATAGTATAATTTGTATAATATGTCAGGCTTGGGCCATAGAAAAGCCTGTTTAATAAAAAGGTCGTAGGCCCACTTTCAAAAGGTCGAGCCTATAAGTCTACATACCGGCCTATATTGTACTATTTATTTTAAATAAAATAACATAGAATAAGTATGCCTTGAAGAAAAAATAAAAGATATAAATTTAATCAATTGTAATTATTTATAACTTAATTATATTCGATTATATTTTAATAGAAATCTTACTTTATTTCTTATATAGGAGGAATCAATATCTCAACATGTTTGATTGTGTATATGAATATATTAAAAGATTTTTGAGAAATGTTATACTTACTACAAACATCATGATGTGTTTGTTGAATTTATGTAGTTATTTTAATTTACATAGTATGAATTTGTTTGTTGGATCTGATGAAATATATATTATTTAGTTTGAGCATTTTGTTTTTGAAAATGAATTAAATGCATATTGTATGAGTTTTGTTATGATTCATGATTCTCTTTGGACGTTGAAACTATGATTTTTGGTGTAGCAACAGAATTTGAGTACTTTGTAAAGTTGATTCATGGTTCTACAAGGAAGTTAGAAATTAACAGGCTAACGGGTCAAGCCAGGCCATTTATTTTTTTATAAACGGGTCAAGTCAGGCTAATAGTTAAACTCATTCTAGGCTTGGGCCAGGCCAAAAATTTTCGACGTAGGCTTGGGCTTTTCGGGACAAAGTTTGGCCCAACCCAGCCCACTTTCACCCCTACTTTTATGTATGCGTAGAAGATAAAATCATCTTTTACGATAAGAGAAATATTAATCCCTAAAAAACACGTTTCTTTTCCTTTCTGTTTTTCTAATTTCCTTATTTTTTCATAATTTACTAGCTATTTTTATTAGATTGCTAATTACTAAAAATTTTGATATTTTTATTAATGCAGTGAAATTTTTTGAGTCAGTAATTGAGTTTTTTTAATCTTAAAATCTTTTCGACATACTAAAAAAATATTTAGTTTTTTTTCTTGAACTGCTTAACAATAAAAAATTATTTTAGTTCACTTCTTAAGTAAACGTAATGTGATCAAAATGATGGATTAAAAAAATGTTGGATTGCAAATAATAATAATAATATAGAGAATAAGGGATGTATTGGATTATGATTTTAAAAGACTACTACTTTGAGATAAAAAAATCTTATAGATTTTAAAAGATTATCTAGAATTGTAGTAACTTTAAATACTTTTTTAAAAGATTTTTTTTTTTCAATCAAGATTTTATAATATTGAATTTTAATAGAATTTATAAGATTTGAAATGACAATATAGATTTTAAAACACCATTTGAAATTTTAAACAAACATTCAAAATTACAAAAGTCAATATAAAAAGGGTTTTATAAGAGTTATGTGGTAGGAAAAATGATTGTGTAATGTTATAGAGATTCGTTTTGCGTGCCTTAGTTTTTTTCTTTCTTTTTTTGCTTCAAAAAGTGCGGGCCCCCACAAAATATTGTGTGTAGAAAATTTTTTTGTGTCATGTGACATGATAGATACAAACCCCATAAAAAATTAATAAAGAAATGGAATGATATTAATAAAAAAAAGTAAAACCTAATATAATTTTCTCAATTAGTAATTTGATGTAACTTAATGCCCTACTAAGCAACAGCTCTCCACATCTCTAAAGCTATATTAGCCCTCTAGGCATCAGCATCTTTTCGTTTCTACTTTTGGGAGTGACCAATGGGTTGAAAATCATCTTCTTCATTAACTGGTGATACTGAAGATGAAGATGCATCTATTGATTCAATTGAAAATTCATCTAAACGACATTTTTTGCAGAGAAAGTTGTGTAGTGCTACACTTGCTAACATAAGTTCTGCTTGTGTTTTAAACGGAGACAGAGATGCTGACTTAAAAATTGTAAATCGTGATTTAAAAATGTCAAATATCCTCTCAATTAAATTATTCTTTTTATCATTGTCTTGTCAAATAGTAGGTAACTTGCATTCATTATGTGTACCATTTTATTCCTATTTATGATCAGATTACATGGTTCAACTTAATATTGTTAAGAGATCAGGCTCTTCGAATCTTTGGCAGGGGATTACTCGAGTTTGGCCACAAATACTTGATGGTTCCAGGGTGATGATTGGTAATGGGAAGGGTACCTCATTCTGGAATGACAATTGGCTACCTATTGGTCCCCTTAAAGAGCATATATCCCAGGATATTCCTTTTGAGTCTCTGGAAGATAAGGTGATGGATATGGTGAGGGATGATGGAGAATGAAACTGGCTGAAGTTCAGTCATTTAATCTCAGAAGATGCCTTAAGCCATGTAGCAGGAACTTGTCCTCCAAGTTTATTGAATGGGGAGGATAGGCTGATTTGGGACTTATCCCATGATGGAAGGTTTTCCATAAAATCTGCATTTGGCAACTACTGTCCAGATTCAAAGATATATGGTGATATTCAGTGGAACACTATTTGGGACTGGGGAGGGCCACCCAAAATTAAAACTTTTTTGTGGTTGGCTCTTGGGGAGAAGCTACTCACGAATCAGAGGAGGAAGCAAAGACATATGTCTGATTCTGAAATCTGTCCTAGATGCAATCTAGTTTCTGAAAGTTGTATCCATGTCCTAAGGCACTGTAATTGGGCTCGATATGTTTGGAAAGTCTTTATTGGCCCTGAGAATTGGGATAATTTTTGTGAAATGTCACTAATAGATTGGATCCAGGCTAATCTATTTCCTAAAAGGAATCTCTTGGGTGGTGATAGGGGCTGTATCATGTTTGGTATTGTTTGCTGGTCACTCTGGAAAGATAGGAATTGCCTGGTATTTGAAAATCAAATTTCGAGTGTGGAGGATCTGGCTAGGAGTTCCTGCATTTTCTTGTCAAATTTTTTGGAAGCGAATGCAATGTATAACAGGGCAGGGATGGTGAGAAGTCAGAAATATGAAGTGTTGGTTCACTGGTCTCCTCCTCCGACAGGCTGGATCAAGGTGAACATTGATGGCTCAGCTAGGAGGAACAATAGTCAGAGTGGTTGTGGAGGGGTGTTGAGAGATGAGACAGGTAGGTGGATTATGGGCTTTGCCAAGAATTTGGGTCGAGGAAGTTCAACCAAAGCTGAAGTGTGGGGTTTATAATCGGGCTTGCTTTTAGCTTGGAAGAAAGGTTATAGAAAGGTGATGCTTGAAGGAGACTCCCAAGTGGCTTTTCATCTTGTTAAGGAGTGATGTGCTCCTAGCCATCCTATGGTGTTTTTGATTCAAAGAATTATAGAATTACTAAATTTAGATTGGCAAGTGACTTTAACTCATGTTTATAGGGAAGCTAATAGTGTGGCTGATTTTTTGGCTGGATTAGCTTATAAATACAGTTGGGATACCTTTACTTTTGATGTTCCCCCTAAGGGGTGTATAGAGTTACTGGGTAGAGACCTAAGGGGTGTTGCCTGGCCTAGAGTGGTCAGAGTGATGTAAGTTTTGTTTTGTTTTAGCTTCTGTTGATATTCAAAAAGAAAAAAGAAAATACGAAGAAGAAAAAAAAGAAAAAGAAAAAAAAGATAGGTTATTCTACCCATAATTTACCTTTGCCTAACAAAGTAACAGTGTTGGAGAGGTGATGATAAACAAAGGTAGTCAAAAAATACACGATAGATAGAATAATCTATCAAAAAACTAACTATAAACCCGAAATACTGCATCGTTTTGCTCAGTGCTCACTGAAATTTGGGTGATTACCTATTGCTCTTTACAAAAAGCCAAATCTCATTTATTCTTTTTGTCTTCTCTTTCTCTCTTCTGTTGAGACATTGAAGAAGTAGGGTTGAGACTTAGAAAAGGAAGGAGATGAAGCTGCCGTCGAGATCTGATTCATTCACTCACACACTCCCTCACGATTTAATAGAAGAAATTCTGATAAGGTTGCCGGTGAGATCTCTTTTACGTTTTAAATGTGTGTGTAAGTCATGGCTCACTCTCATATCCAATCCCCAATTTGCAAAATCACATTTTGAAATTGCTGCTGCACCCACCCACCGACTTCTTGTTAAACCAACTCATGGTGTTCCTCTAGAATCCATAGAAATAGAGGCACCACTTCACGATGATCCTGCTCCATTATTGCCTCACTCATCTTCGAATATTGGGTTCTTGCCGAGGGTTTATCCTTTTAAGGTATATTGAGGAGGAGGATGATCTCATTTTATGGAATCCATCAACAGGTGCACGAAAAACAATATCGTGCTCTCCGGGTCGCAAATTATTTTATGGCTTTGTGTATGACACATCAACTGATGACTACTTGGTTATTGTTGTTGTTACTAATGAAGCTTGGACTACTTTGAAAGCTGACATAGAGTTTTTCTCCTTGAAAACCAACTCATGGAACAAAATTAAGGGCATTAACTTTCCATATTCATGTATTGGGCTGCCAGGGCATGAATTCATATCTGGGTTACTCTTGAATGGAGCTCTTCATTGGTTGACACTCTGTAAAGGAACTGGTACAGATGTTGCTTCTGTGATAATTGCCTTTGATTTGATAGAAAGGAGTTTATCAGAGATTCCTCTGCCAAGTGATTTTACCGCCGCCTCTCGGTCCAGATCAGTAGTTGATATTTGTCATTTTATGGTAATAGGAGGATGTCTTGGTCTGTGTTGCCGTCGCCCATTTTATACCATTTTAAGAATTAGGGTATGCAATGCTCTCCAATCTTTTTTACCATTTTATTCCTAGCAATTATGAAAATTGAAAAGATATTTGCGGAATCATGACACATAAAAAATGATACCTTATGGTATCTTGCACTCTCCCCTTCCTATCTAATATTATTTTCATTTTCTACAAAAAAAAAAAAAAAAAAAAAAATTGATTCATGAAATTGCAAGAATAATCAAAGACAAGGCAATTTGAGTGGAAAGATTTATAAGAAAAAACAACTATTGTTTAGAGTAAAACAATTCTGATATCCTGTGAGATTTTACAATATCCCAATTTCATGTGATATTATTTGCATCATGTACATCTCCATGCATATGGTGCAGTAGTTCTGTTTGGTTGGACATAGAATTAAGGGAGCTATTGATGATTTTAATTTTGGATTACGTAATTTGGATGTGCGTGCAGAATGCCTCAACCTAATTGGTTGTTGTTCAAGATTAGTGAGATGTAATCCCCAAGGACCAAAGAGAGCTTCTCCAGCACTTTCATATGCGGTGTCAATCCACAAGTCCACTTTCATTCCCTGAGTGACAAGAATAGTTAAACATGAATCTTCTCCAATGGGTTTTCCAGTATTTCGCAGTGTAGAGTTGTTTATTATATTGACCATAGATACATTTTCCAGAAGTCGAGATACATTTTGAATAAATTACAAGTTCCGTCTAGCTTGGGTTTAAGTTGGTTTGTAACTTGAATTGTTTTCAACTGATTTGTTTTGCTTTAATGGCTTGTAATATTGATAAATTAAGCGTATGGTTTATCTGTATCATCAATTAGTTGGGTTTGTTTATTTTGCTTGTAAGTGATGATTGTTATCTCTTTCCCTATGATCTGATCTATCTACCTACTTCGGGGTTCTTTCGTCTTTTGCTTAAAACATGCTGAATGTACCTTTTTATCTTTTTTCTTTTATTTGAGTGGAAAATTGTGCATGTTCACTCTATTATTGATTACCTTCAGTACTTCAATAGTGTAAATTGAAGATTGGTTTGATATTTTGGTGAAGTGTAAGGTGCATTGGTTTAGGTTGCAGAAATCTGGATTCCAAGCTTGTCTGGGTTGTGCTGGGATTATTTTGTTTGGAAACTCAGGAAATTTTTTGTGCCCGTAGGAGCTCACGTTGCATCAAACATGAAAAGGAAAGTGCTCTTTTCAAAAGATACAGTGTCATACACTGTATTATGGCATATGGGATAGTGGAGTGGTCAGTTGTTGCTATATATGGTTAAAAAAACATGGATTTATTTGGGTTGATATTTTCAGTGATGTAATTCTCAACTATTGATGGCTGTACTCTGATGTTTTTTCTTTAGGGAAATTGCTTTGTTATTGAATGTCCTGTTCCTGGGCATATGAATGATAATTTTGGCATTTTTTTTACTTATATTTTCTATTACTTTAACCTTAATTCTGCTCTTCTGATATGATAGTTCAATTTTGGTATTTATATGCTTAGTTTCAACTTTACATTCTTAATATATTTTTTTCTGTATTAATTTTTTTTGTCTCGCATGCATAAATGCTTATTATGTTGATTTGAGTAGATGAAAAATAAAAGGATGAAAATTTCTGTTTAAAATCACTTTGCACTTGCTTGGTATGAAGTAACTCATTTACTCTGCTTCCTATCAATTTTGGTCATTCTTATAGCATTAAAAGCAAATTTTCGGCATTCTATTGTGTAACTAAAAGTAAAACCTTTGGTGTCTACCAAAAAAAAAAACCAAAGTAAAACCTTTTGTCATACTTAAATTTCGCAACCTTCTCCAACTGTTACAAATTCCGGTTCTTAGAGCTTTTTGCTGGGTTTTTTAACCCGATTTTCCATGGGGAAAAAATCTTACAACTTATGTTTCATTTTTTTTTTTTTTTTTTTTGATAACATATGTTTCATTTTTCACTTCCTCTAACGAGCACGCGTAAAAAGTATCAGCATCATCGGACTTGTTTTTATAGTTTTATAAATATATCATGAGGGAGTGTAAGTCGACATCGATACGGGACACGAGACACGATAAGATACGATACGCCGACACGTTAATTTCAAAAAATGTCATATTTCGACACGTTAGGACACGTTTTGATATTAAATAATAATATTATTATATATAATATAATTTATATTTAATACATAAAATAGTCCATAATAAGTCATATAATCAATCAAATAGTCAAATTGCATAACATAAATATAAAGCAAAAGTAATTTTGCATACCTTGTTAATTTTTTAGGTCAAATTTTATAACAAAAAAAAAAATTGACTTATAAATTAATTTTTGATTTTTAGTTAATACAATCTAAAATTTAGACCCTAATAAAAAAACGTATCGGATGCGTGTCACCGCGTGTCGAAAAAAGTTGTCTGTGTGTCGAAAACACGTGTCGGAGCATGTCGAAGCATTGACCACGTGTCCCAAAATGTTAACCGCGTGTCGGAGCATGTCGTTGTCCGACACGCAAATTTTTTGAGAAAAAAAAAACGTGTCCGTGCTATATAGGTGTAAGTTCATAAACATGTTAGCAATTCAATAACTGATAAGGAAGTGTAACTGCTTCAATTGGGTGAAGCACTGCTCCCATGTATACATAATACAGCCATGGACGTCTCTTACCTTATCATGAACATGAGTGGTGGTCAGCTACAGCCTTCAAAGCTAGGATTGACACAAACAAATATTAAGCTTAGATTGTTTTTCATTGATTTCAATGAATGCCATGTGCATAATTTCTGAAATACAATTGTCTCAAGGTAGATTTTGACAGTTCCATGGGTCATGACATCTGAAAACCAACGTTTATCCTAACTCTTTCATTTTTTTATTTTTTTTACACTTCAAGCCTGCATGAGAATTTATCATTAATATATATATAATATTTTATTACACTTAATTAGAAGCATAGATTTGGCTAATTGGTTGTACATGCAACCCGATCACAAAGAGATTCGAACTTGGCACCTAGAAGAAGAAAAGTGACATACTAACCACTAATGTAACATCCCGTTCTAGAACCGGTTTGTTAACATCGCATTATGATATTAAGCACAGTTACAATCACATTGGCTCAATTAAAAATCCGGATAAATTTTTCTTTTTAAAACGACGCCGAATTTAAAATATCCAATTGCGTTATCATAACCATATTACCTTGCGGAATTAGATAAACCAAGCTTAACATCATGTTCTTATTCCATTTTTAAACCATTAATTTACTTCTTGTTTATTTCACAACTTCTTCTATATTTTAGATCTCTACGTTAGCTACGCGTGGGTTCAAACCGCGCTCAAATCGGAGCACTGTAGCCCAAGTTATGGGTTTTCTACGAAACGAGCGCGTGAATCCTGCTGATCCCGGCGCGACCGGCGCCAGCTGTGGCGCGGCGGGCGCCAACGAAACAGAAGCTCCCCATCGAAATGGCGCTGGAGGCGCCAAGGTTGGCGCCAGGTGCGCCAGCTGGTGATCCCGGCGCGATTTGCGCCAACTCCGGCGCGATTTGCGCCATGAAACAGAAGCTTTCGAGCAAAATGGCGTGATGTGCGCCAAGTTTGGCGCCAGGTGCGCCAAAGCTCTGAAGGTTTCACCAATTCTTAGTATTTTACCTCTAACTAGAGTTATACATGTCCAATTCACACAATATTGGTCTCTATGGAAAGCTAAGAAAAATATCTACAACTTCCATACATACACCACCGTCCCAACCTATCATATAAATTCCTCTTCATAAATGGTTCTTAGTTCTTGCATAATACAAACACATCTAAAGGGACATGCATGCCCTTTTCCTCATGGCTTGTACTAAAATTTGGGCATCATAACCCTTGTTTTCTCAACAATTCCCAATTTAGAACTAGGTACCTAATATGATTTCTCAGCCCAACCAATTCAATAACTCAATACATAAAAGCATGCATATATTGAATTTCAAGTAGGCATCATTTACAGTACATATTCATTACAAATCATGGAACTTAGCTTACAAAACACTATGATCATTCCCTTGGCTCCCATCAACAAAAGAGATGACCAAAGGCATGAGCATAGGCTAAGTCCATTCCAATATACAAATCATAAATCTATCATTGCCTATTAATTACAATTCTATACATGTGAGCTACAAAACAACATGTATAATCTCAAAAACTGCAACACTTCATGCATATGCTAATCCAGATATGGCCACTTGCCACTAGTGGCTCCTGCAGCATCCTTACCTGAAATGGGGTCTCCTCAACACGGGGTGAGATATACGAATATATCCAGTAAACCAGGGGTCCTTGGAGCATCTCTCCACCCCACAGTTCCATATCAGTGTAATAGCAATAACAATAATAATGCAGTAAATACATATCTATGCAAAGTGCAATACATCTCCAGGAGAAATCCCTCGAGCTCTCAAGCTGTCCTAAGGAAACTCAGATGCAAATAGTCCTACTGGCCAGCTAACTACCAAGTATGATTTACGCATCGTCATGCCACATACCAACATAGGGAAACACCATCCTATGCCACACAAAATGCATACACATACGTATAACAAAGCATTACACTATTTTATTGCATTTATATACACTATAATCACCACTACCCTTTCAGGGCTTGGTGGAACAATCAAGGGAATTACACCCAAGGTCCGAAGGCTTACCTCAATGCTTCATTCGACCTTTGTTCTTCACCAACAGTTTCAGCAATCAACTTTTACAAACATACACCTATACAAGGGTAATGCAATTAACATATTGCATTCAAGGATAACTCATCATCATCAATCCAAGCTATCATATTCATACCACAACACAAGGATGAACTTACCTATTTCAAGGACTAATCCATCTCCATTGCTTGCTCCAAAGGTTGGTCAATTAAGGTTGATCCAATTGCCTCAATCCTAGACAACACAAGGATACAATCAATGACCAACCAAACAATGGTTAACAATGCAAGAAAACTCATAACCAAGTGTCATATTCTTGCAATTTTCCAAACCTACTCATTTGACTACTAAGCTCATTTCTAGCATTTTTCATAACATCTACTAAGTCTCAAACTTCCTAGAGCATAGCCAATCTAATCACATTTCTATGAAAACCCTAATACACTATTCACAAACCCTAACTCATGCAAAAATCTAGGGATTTAGTGTGCAAAGTAGTGGAAACTTACCACCAATGACCACACAACGATGCAATGAGCGCTCCCCAAGCTTCAATGGAGAGAATCACCCCAAAACCCCAACTCTCACCAAAAGGGGCGAATTTTGGAGGGTTGATATCTCTCTCCCCAATAACTCCCACTCAAAACAAAGCTAGGATTATGAAAGAGGGGAAGAATCTAAGTGGTTTAGGCTTTTGAACGGATGGATTTGGTTGAGATTTGCTTTCTCTCTCTCTCTCTCCCTTTCCCCTTCCTTCTTTCTCCTTCTTCTTCTTTCTCCTTCTTTTCTTTCTGCTGGTGTCGTGAAAATGGGGAGGGGAATTGGTTGCTTTTTACTTTATGCCACTTAACTTTGTTAAGTGGTTAAAAAGTGGGTATCGGTTCATCTATCTATTCAACTCCATTAATTACCAAACTTTACCCAAAAGTCTGGAATATTATTCTAGGAATATTACTATTTTTATTTTTATATTTTGGGCACTTTCACCAGTACCCATTTATACCCCTTAATTTTCACTGAGTACACTTTTTAACTCCAAAGTGACTCAGATTCATTTAATTAAGCCTTATACTTAATTTCACTCAGTAAAACATGCTTAATTAATTAATTACACTTGATTTACTAATTAGTTAAGATGGGCTATTATAACTAACCCAAATTATTTTGATTTTTATATTACTTCTATTTATATATTTATTATATATATTCACATAAATTTAATTTACGCAATTCAACCAATGGGTGATCCATTGACCCGCCCAACTCAGTTATGATTGGTTTGAATTTAATAACATTGATTAATGGGTTATCTCATTAAAATCACTTATGTAAGCCCATATGTATATATGTTATGTACTAGAATATCATATAATTAATAAATATAGGGTATCCTATAGTTGATTTATTTTTATATTCATATTCATTTTATTATGTTAAACAAGAGAAAGAGAAAAAACATATTCATAGATATTTACGATATGTTGTTTATAGTAACTGGGTTTATGAATTATGGTAAACAAACAATCCGAATGACAAAAAGAACTGGTCTCATATCCCAACTAATTTGCACTACGAAGAAGGAAGGTCAATTCCATTAAGCATACCTTGTACAACAAGCCAGAAGGGTA